GTTCCCCTTCACATCAGAGTCACCCTTCACATCAGAGCACCCCCTTCACATCAGAGCCCCCCTTTATATCAGAAGCCCCTTTTTCACATCAAAGTCCCCCCTTCACATCAGAGTTCCCCTTCACATCAGAGTCCCCCTTTTACATCAGCATCCACCGTTTCACATCGGAGCCCCCCTTTGTATCAGGAGTCCCTTTTTCATATCAAAGTCTCCTCCTCACATCAGAAGCCATGCTTCATATCAAAAGCCCCTTTTCACTTCAGAGTTCCCCTTCACACCAGGAGTCCTCATTCCCCCCTTTACATAAAAAAAGCTGCGACAGTATGTCAGAAGGTGGAGCAGACCCGGATGGAGACAACCTACTGTCCTTTTCAGGATGGGTCCCACACTCACTTGATAAGTGTCCTTTGTTTCCACGATGCTGGTAAAACTTTCAAGGCACCCCTGAGGAAGACAGAAGGCACCCCTGAGGAAGACAGAAGGCACCCCTGAGGAAGACAGAAGGCACCCCAGGGTGCCACGGCAGGCTGGTTGAGAAAGGGTGGCCCCAGAGGTCAATAAATGGTCTGAATGGGGGAAAAAACGGGAATGTGTATGGACATTCTAGTCTGGTCTTCCCCCACAGTTGTCTAAGGAAGCATTATACTGTACAGCAGCCTCTTGTCGGGCATTCTGTACTTTGTGACCTTTTTTCATCTTTCTGAATGTGATTTCAAGGAAAAAGATCAGACAGCACAGAATAACTGTCAAGAGGCTGCAGTCCTGAATGTCCAGCTTAATCTGGCAATGTCATCATTAGTAGGTAATACTCAGATTAAATGGAAAGTAGGCATGGCTCCTGACTTGTAGTATTTCCTGGATTTAATAAGAATGATTAACAATGTATATAGTTGATAATCAGCCTAACACAGGTCAGGGGTCCTTACGTTGTCTATGCTGGTCTTCAACCTTCTGATGCTCTGTTTGGTGGCATTTAGCGCCTTCTCTGCCTCCTTCGCTTTGTTCCCGGCCTCGTCCAGCAAAGTTTTGGTCTCTGCGACGCTCCCGCTAACCCCGTCAGCCCTCTCTCTGCATGTACGGAGAATGGGGACATGTTTATTGTAATCGCTGTCATTAGAATTGGTATTCTCTATTAATTGAGCAGGAGCTATGAATGTCACATGGGAAAGCACAAAGCAATTTATGAATATGGCTCAAAAAGAAATAGAGTTTTAAATTGTGGTGCTGCCGAGGTCAATACATACAATCAATAGACAATTTTAAAGTGTATGTCCAGGCATAAATCAGTTTTTTTAATCTACTTTTTTTGGGAGGGGGTGTACTTTGCGTAGTTTATATCATTTTTTTTTTATTTAAAGTAAATTATTTTATTTATTTGTGTTTTGAAAATAACAAGAGGACATTTCTTGGTAGAAGAATGAGTCCAGAATAGTTGATAGAAGCTTCTGTGACCCATGTGAAGCCCAATGCACCCTTAACCCCTTAAAGAAGAACTTGGTGAAACATTTGTATTCACCCTTGCAGTGGGGCTACACCCTGCACTGCAAAAGGGTTAACTGCTTGTTTTGGTCTAGGAAGGAAAATGACAAAATGACAGATTCCCCGACCAGGCTGGCTTTGATAGCGCTCCCTACTGCATGTCTCCTTTTCCACTGCAGCGATGGTATGTCCCTCGGTGTCCTCACATCCTATACACTGTATAGAACGTGATGGCTCAGGGACCTTTGAATGTTGCAGTGGAGGGAGAGCGAGGCTGGAAGGATAGGTCTTAGAGCAAGCCAAACTCGGAGGATCAGGTGAGTATAACTTTTTTTTCCTCCCTAGACCCAAACGAGCAGTTAACCTTTGCAGTGCTGCAAGGGTTAATAGAAATTTTGCCTTGTGTTCATCTTTCATTTTGCCTACTCCACTGGCTCCAAAACACTTTACAAACATTTTGCCGTATTTCGCCCAAATTACGGGAACATGAAAAGTCCGTATTTCACTCCTCCTTGCTATCTATCACACTCACACATGAAACCAAACAGGAGTTTTCTCTTCTGGAATTGTAATGACCAAAATGAGAACCTGCAATCGAGCTGCGTGAGCGGTTCCCATCATAATCACATATTTTCCTGACTACAAGAGCTCCGTGACATCTGTGAAATAATAAGCGGGTTTTGCTCTAACAGCCCAGAGAGGTTTTGTATGGACACATCTGGAATTTACACACACAGCTTTGCATCTGTGCACCCATCTAGTTTATGATCAACCCATCTGCTGAAAGAATGAAGACTTCCTCTGTTTAACCGCTTTAGACGACGTTTCCAAAAATTGATTAGTGATCGCAGTTTGCTTATGTAACTTTTCTACAGCTGGGCCAGTGCCTGCCATAATTTTGTAGCCACCTTGTTGGCTAACCTGTTAACCTGTTATATCAGTTCTCAAGGAGAAAGTTTCCCAAAAGCAAAAGCTCCAAAACCACCCTCATCCCCCTCAGTCCAAGGCCACCATAGCCGCTCGATTGTGATACACACACACAACAAGCCAAAAAGTGGCTCAAGGTAGGTACAGATTTCCATGTGTTCCTTACCTGGCCTCCAGAGCTTTTTGCATGAGTAGCTTGGCAGCATTGACGCTCTCTGATGTAGTATTGAGGATCGTTTCCACCCCGCTGAGGTTACCAATGCTGTTTGTGATCTGGTCGATGAGACTGGCGATATCTCCAGGACTGGCCGGGAGTGAGATGTTCAGAACCTGCCTTGCTACTAGCTCAATGCTCTCTGCGTCAGCTCCTTCCTCTGTGGACAGGACATAAAAACAGGTTCAAAATCAGTTCTCCAATGTCCTTTGGTGGGTTATGGAGGCCCACCGGATAGTCATGTGTGCTGTATGGTCGTGTCTGTCAAGTTTCTCATTCATCCAGGTCATGGTATAGCTAGTAGTAGTCAAAGTCCTTCATGTTCTCTGTTTATTTCTGGCCTTCCAAAATACTAATACATCGCTATTTGCATTACCTGTTAGGAAATCTTTAATCTTCTTAATGAAAGCTCGCAGTTTTTCGGTGGAGTCTTCAATTTTCCGCTTGGTGTCCTTGGCCTTGTTCAAGGTGGATTCACTTTGCACCTTGGCTTCTTGGGCAATGTTTTGGACTTCCTGAATCTAGAAATGGTTTACACAATGCACACTGTATTACCTTTTTTTGCAAATTTCTATTTAAGGAGGAGATGCAAGATGGCATAAATTATGTTCCCTTTTTCAAGGTTGGCATGATGATCATTGGGCAATTCTATACAACTAGAGGAACTAAAATCTACTGTATCTGCGATTCTCATAGCTATCTGTCGTTTTCTGTAGGAGTTTAGAAAATGAAAGTTAGAACCTGACTGGTTGCTTGGAACGACCCCATTATCTTGGCTTCCTCTAAGTATACACTACTAATTTGTTTCCATAAGGGTAATATTTTTTTTTATTTTGAGGAGCCCCTGGTTTTTAAAGGAATTTATAAAAGAGTTGTTTTTCCTATATAGTAAACTCATTTTTATTAGTAATTTATTATATCCATTTTAATAACCCTAAAATACAAATTTTTCACTAGGTATCTCTATAACGTTACTTTGAACGTGCATATTTACAAATATGATACATCAAAACACTTTTTTTATACTGTAGCGCTACCCCCGAAGGAGCCGCTGGATGCCAGGTTCATCTCTAGTCTATCTAGGGTATGATTTTCAGCTGCCCACCCCCATTAGCATTAACCATTCTTCTTCTAGTGCCCACAATAGCTGATATCCACTCCAGTAGTATAATGCTTAATAACTTTTATTGAACATCTTCACTGGGGAGAGAGGTTATAGGGAAGCTCACAGGGTGTAACAGACATAGACTCCAGACTCACCAGACCTGGTTAACATCTCAGTGTAGATCCACTTGGGAGGCAGCAGATAGCAACTGAAGTAGCAGATGAGCAATGATGAACACAGATCCTCAATAGGAGAGAACCAAGCCATGCCCCTGAAGTCCTTTGAATTCTAGATAACTTCAAGAACCATCAATGGTCCTGGTTCTCTTCCTCTAGCAGCAACAGAGGCCTCCTCCATGTTGGAGGCCCCAGGGAAACATTTCCCTCACACCAGCCTATACCCACCCTAGCCTAGCCTGGGGGGCAGGCTGAACAGCACCCTGCCCTAATCCATGGCTGGTCCGGCTAGTCTGAGCACATGGCAAATCCCTCCAGTATATGTACCTTATCCCAGCATGCATCACTGGTTGAGAGAAACCCAGTGATTGGCTGCTGTACTGTACATACGCTACAGTGCCTCTCACCTCACACCTTTTAATATCTACATTCAACATTCTAATCCCCAACCCAAACTTGCTAATCCTTGCCCCATGTGACCAGCTTTAGAAAAACTCACACCTATATCGTTTGTGCTCACTCCTTTCAGGGTATGGTGACATGCATTCCTCCTACCTTCTCAGAGATGTCATTCAGCTGGGTAGCCATGTTTTCCAGGTCCAGTTTGACATTCTGGGCAGATACGAGGGCCTTCGCTGAGATTGGCAGAGCTCCTTTACAGTTCTCTCCACCACATTTCCTCTTGCCTTGGTCATCCTTGCAGTTGGCTCCGCCACATGTAGCCTGGTCACAAGGCTTGTCCCCTGGTGCTCCACAGATCTTATAGAAGAGGAAACCCAAAATGAGTCAAACAACACAATGTTGGTGACTTTTTCAGTGCACTGATTATCTGGGCCCTGTCACGTCTGCCAATAAATATTCAAGAGAATGAAGCCAATACATCTGCCAAAATTGGGCAAATTGGCACCAGTAACCTTCTGTTGTTGTCAGCTTGGTATAAAATGGATCGAAGCACTAAATGCAAAGTGGTATACCCAATAACAATTCATCATGGACAAATCTGGCTCCAGTAAAGTTAATGCTGATTGGTTACTGCAAGTTTCAGCATTTTTCACTAGGAGCTGTTTCCTATGCTGTTCTTAGAGCAAGGCTGAATAAGTCAAAGACTACTAAGCAAAATAACTGTAAGCAACCATACAAAGACATTCATCTCAAACATATTTACAGGTTGTCAGTTTTCTAAGGCAGATGAGGATCAGTAAGACAGCAAACTCTTCTCTGTGAAAGAGGTGGTCCTCGCAAGAATGTTGCTTTGAGACCAAATGTTGTGTGGCTACATGCTCCAGCAATGGAAACCAGGTCCTGCCAGCACTCCATATAAGCCAATCAAAATATTAACTCATTGTGCTTGATCGTGGCTGTTACTATGAATTGTCCCACGCACACCTGTCTCTCTTTCATTGGTTATAAATCGATGAGCTGCTTACTTCATTTACCTTCTCAGTGTTTGTTTCACACGCAGGAGCTCTTCAGCTGCCCTGAAAGGACAGGGGTCTTCATCAGTCACACTACCTTCCTAGATGAATGAGTGGCCTTTAGGAAAATTTTGCTCTCATTTTAGCCCTTGCTGTAAATGGCACTCCCAAAGATTACAGTAGATACCACACTTTAGAGTGGCATACATTTCCAGAGGTATGCAGCTGAGGGCTACATTTTAGAAGCATTTTTTAATTAAGCTCCCCTGTGCTGGCAGGGTAATTTTCTAGCAAGTGAATCTGTTGTTATTCACCTGCAATAAACTGGTCTCACCTCATCAAACATTTTTTGTTACTGTTGAACTGATTTGCTGCTCATCTCTTTTCTCTATATGGCACTTAGCACGTTTGGTTTTTGTGCTACTTCATTCATGTATCCAGCAACATTTGAGGGATAAATTACCTTTAAAGCCCAATCAAAGTCTCACCCCTTTTTATCTGTTTATAGTCCTGTACTCTCATATGTTAACATTTTTGACTGATTTGTGCTTGGAAATTATTTAATATGCCCTTTACTATCAGCAAAAATGCTGCTTTGTGCCCTTTCCTTTCAGTGCTCTGTGTTGGCAAAGCTGAGTAATAGCCACATCCAACAGCACCAGTGTCCTCACATAGACTTGTATTGCAGGAAAAAGAGGAGGCATATCTGCTTACAGATCTCTACTGAGTCCACTAGGGTCTAACCCACATCACAGATACAGATGCAATGGCAAGGTGGAGGTAAGACTATGAAAAAGGAGGTTGTTAGTATAATGTCTCAGACATCATATGGATTTCAGTCCAGCTGGGTCTATCTAGTGGAACTATGCCCTCTTATCCTTTACAGCCAAGGAAAGCGCCATGTTTGCCTGTATTTGGATTGCAGTTGCCATAGTAAGAATTTCTAAGGAAAACGGAGTGTGAGGCAAATGGGTGGCCCCACACCCTCAATCTACATTACAAAAAAGGAAAATGGCTACAAAGGAGCCTATTGTGGCACCTTTAAAGCCTCAGGCTCCTTTGTAGCCATTTTCCTTTTTTGTTTGCAGTTGCCATAGGTCTGCACATGTGATGATACCAGGCATTGGAGGGCTTGAAAGTTTGGTTGAGAGCTGAAATAAGCGCACTGGCAACCTAGGCAGTTGGAATGCCTTGGCATTAACTGTTTTGGGAGACTATTAAAGTGGTGGGTCTAGTTCCGCTTTAATGTAATTACTCCATTGAAAGGAAGTTAGTACCTTCTCATTAATTTTAAAGACATTAAGATCCTTGGTCTTCTTCTGCAGTTCTTTCAGCGAGGTCCGATGGGCGGTCATGTTCCTTCGGTAACTGTCCAGTTTCTCTTTCAGAAGCCTCTCCGTTTCATCTCGTGTTTCCTTGGAGTGCGACACGGGACTATCAGGTCCATATATAGACTCATTGGCAAGTCTCTCTGCAGCTGTGGAATCTAAATAAGCCTTCAGGATGCTCCCATATGTCTCTGAAAAATAAAATTGCACCAGACATGTCAGGAAATTATAAGGAATTTGGTATAACTGACACATTTTTCTTTTAGTAGGCCTGAGCCTTACAAGACACCCTGGGAAATGTTATAAACTAAAGTTTGGTGCTCAGCGGGGCCCTCATTTACATACTTGCTTCTTGGAGAGATAGGGCAGTTGGCTGAAGTGGAATACTTTGTGCCACCAAAGCTTATTTAGACCCCAACTGGCTACAGTTTGGAATAGAAATCTATCTCTGTCCACTTTTATCTTTGGTCTATGTTACCCAAACTGTGAGTGCAACAAGGTTTTAGTAGATTAAGCTCAACATCCACAGTTACATAATTAGACTGAAAAAAAGGCACATGTCCATTGAGTTCAATCAACAGAAAATAATAATAAATAAACTGAAAACCTGCATATACAGAACCCTATACCACAAATGATCCAGAGGAAGGTAAACAAAAGTTTATAAAGACTAATTCAATTTGTTCTAACAAAAAAAAAAATTCTTCCCGATCCCCTAAGACAATTGGATATTCCCTGGATCAACATTCCAGTGGCATCAACCATTTGATTCCAGTGGGACTGACTATACCTTTTTGCATTCAGCATGAGTAAACCCATAGCCAGGCAGACCAGGGACTAAAAGCTAATGTGTCGGTCAAAAAGAAACTCTTAAGCTGGCCATACACTGTTCGAATTTTGTCCAGTTCCTGAGGAACCATCCCAGATTAATTCAGCGGGTGGCCCTGTCGGCACCCTTGCATCCAGCATCCTTCGATCAGAAAATCAAAGGAACCACTCGGAAACATTTCGGGCAAACAGCTGCCATTATTTTTTGGGTATTCTGACAGCGGCAGGCATGTCTAGCCTTACATTCCTACACCCATGATGTTTAGCGTGGAAAGAGAAATGTGTTATATTTTATTCGTTCAGCTCTCAGATTGAACAAAAAAAAAAATAACAACAGAGTATGGTCAGCTTTAGGATCTGAATGATATGCCCTACATGTATGTCTTACCTTACACTCTAGCTGCAAGCATCTTCTTTACACAGTTCAACATTCTTCCCTCCCTAAAATCACGGTAATGCTACTCATCCATCTGATGGGTGACTATAAAAAAATGTGGCTTTAGTTCTACTTCCCTATTACCCTTTACTCCCCCTACTTGCTGATTGGACAATGAAGAAGCAGCAGTAGATCAATGAGGTCTTCCACTAACCATGTCCACTAATAGGCTGAGAAGCACTGTACAAAGCAATAGACCTGATTGGCCCAGAGTGTGACCCCTCCCTCTCCCAGTGTAAATGCTGCTGTGCAGGGTGGATTAAGGGAGATTCAGGTGCAAAGGGCAGCTTTATTTAAATATGCATGTAGACTTTTAATGAATGCAAAACTCGAATATATACTGTATATAGCTATATATGTATATATATTCCCTGGATATATATATATATATATGTATATATATACATACATACAGGTGAAAGTCGAATAATTAGAATATCGTGGAAAGTTCATTTATTTCACTAATGCAACTTAAAAGGTGAAACTAATATATGAGATAGACTCATTACATGCAAAGCAAGATAATTCAAGCCGTGATTTGTCATAATTGTGATGATTATGGCTTACAGCTCATGAAAACCCCAAGAACCCCAAATCCACAACCTCAAAAAAGTAGATTATTACATGCAATCAATAAAACAAGGATTGTACATAGAACAATATCGGACCTCTGAAAAGTACAAGCATGCATATGTACTCAGTACTTGGTTTGGGCCCCTTTTGCAGCACTTACTGCAATTACTTTTGCACAATATTCTAATTATTCGAGTTTCACCTGTATTAGAAGATATTATATGGATTATATGGCGTTCCACTACAAATCTAAAGCAACATTTTTACTCATGGGCGGAGTTATCTGCCAGCAAGTTTCTGGACTCTAGGCAAACATCCTAATGTATTTAGACAGAGTCATGCTACAGACACATTCACTGTATTATCTATATTTAGTAAAAGGCTTGCACAGTGCATCCTTATATGACCATGTCAGGAACACGCAGTAACAGTTATCTGACACAGGCAAGATTCTCTTCTGGGATGAAATCTAATAAAGTAGAAATGTTGCTGATACAATCTCCAAATAATAGGAAAAGGGGGAAAACACAATCTTGACATTTCCTCTTGATCTCTTAGTACATTTAATCCTTTAAAGGAGAACTATGGGGTCAGGGCCTTTCCCCATAGTTCTCCTTAGGGTAACGGGAGGACACAAACTAGCGTCCTCCCGTCACCCTAGGCTCAGTATACCGCAGGCTGTAGCTCGCGGTATACTGAGACGCCGCAGCTGAAGCGGATCCCGACAATTATGTCTGGATCCGCCCAGCTGCGTGGCTGACAGCTGGCTCTGCCTATCTAGAGGCAGAGCCAGCTGTACCTGCCCCCGTCCGTTCCGCCAGTCAGCGCTGGAGGATCGTAGCGGGGAGGGGGGAATCCAGCCCCTCCCCTGTCACGGCAGAGAGCTGTGACAGGATCGAGAGGTGAGCGAACGCCGGTCTGTGTTCGCTCCCGTCCCGATCTACTGAGCCGACCTGTGACAGTCTCATTGTCACAGGTCGGCTAGAACTATGAGGTGAGTGAAAAGCACTCACCTCATAGTTCTCCTTTTAATAAATAAAAATTCCAATTAGGATCAAAATCAGCAGCGAGTTTACAAAATGTTATGGTTCAATGAAATGATTGCTTCATAATTTTATCGTTTTCTGCTTAATGTGGAATTTTTAGTAACGTTACAAATACTTGTCCGCCATATCAAAATGTATAGCAACTATATGAGAATCGAATAGGGTGCAATGGCTAGAATCCTGTACTAGATGAAAGGATCTGGGAGGTATGACTTCCAGGCATTGCTTCTGCCCAAACAGTCTCCTGATATAATATGGCTGCATCAGCAGAGACCACGTGATGCCAAGGCACTGGTCACATGACCCATCTCAAATCTAATCCCTTACAGCCTTTTTTTAAACACATTCAAATTTTAATTCCACAGCTGACTGCCTGGAGTCACATGGGTTTTGATGGATGGAAAGAATTTATTTAAACTTTTGTAGGCATTCTAGCAGTTTGTGATCTGTCTCCACTGTGATCACATGAGTGCAGTGCAGTAGTGA